AAAGTTGAACCCAGGTCTAACTAATTCCAAACCCATTGTTGTTATACAGTCATTTCAGACATGTCCAATTCTTTGTGACCCCATTTGGGGTTTTCTTGGTTAAATATGCTGGAGTGGTTTGCTGTTTCCTTCTCCAGCTAATTTTATGAATTAGGAAACTGAGGGTTAAATGACTTGCCCAGGGTTGCAGAGCTAGTAAATGTCTGAGGCCAGATTTGAATTCACAAAGAGGAGTCTTTCTGACTTCAGGCCTGACACTTTATACGCTGTGCCACCTAACTCCATGCCCAGTTTCCCTATAGATAGCAGGCATTCTGACAAAAACAAAATCTAGGGATTTTAGTGGATGACACATCGAATATGAGTGAGGAATGTGATATGGTAACTGAAAAAGCTCCTTTAAGAGCATCATAGCTTCCAGAAACAGGAAGGTGATAATTGTACTGTACTCAGCCCTCATCAAACCTGATCTAGCGTAGCATATTTTGTTCATGAAGGTTTAAGAATTACATTGATATGCTGGAGATTGTCCAGACGTGATCAACCAGGATCGTGAAGGGCCATGCCGTTTTAAATCTATGTGATACAATAATCACTTAAAAGGACTAGGAGTGTTTAGCATGTAGAAGAGAAAACTGGGGATAGGTAGAAGGGGTGAAGAGGGCACATTATAGCTGTTCCAAGAATTTGAAAGGCTGTCATATGAAAGAGGGATTTAATTTGGGATTTTTTTACTCTAGAGGGCTGTTTCCTTAGCTGCAAAATGAAAATAATACAACTTATTCTACTTACTGCTATTATAGAACTGTGGTAGAGATTAAATGAGATATTAAAGTATATTCTAAACTGTTAAAATATCAAACAAATGTGAGGTATTACTATTAAAATAGAAGCTATATATCATGGTGGAGAGAGGGCTGAACTTAGAGTCTGGAAGCCCTGGGTTCATATCCCACTTTTGACACTTTCTAGCTTTATGACCACGGGCAAGTCATTTAACCTGTTTGAGCTTCAATTATCTCATCTATAAAACAGAGATACTAATAATTGCAGTTCCTTCATCGCAGGGATGTTGTGTTATTCAAGTGAGATAATATGCACACAATGTCTTATAAATTTTGAAATATCACATAAATTTCAGTTACTTTTATTGAGGGTGTTCAGTTTTACTTCAGTAAGAGCAGCCATTTTCTTGGGTTCTTTGTGACTTCAACATTTACTCTATTTCAGTTGAGGAAACTGAGGATCAGAGGGGAAGTGATTCATTTAAGGTCACACAAGAAATAAGTAGCTGAACCAGGATACCAGATGAGGTCTTCTGACTGGAGCATTCTTTTCACTGCATCATAATGCTCCTCACCTATTTCTTATTTGGCATAAAACTTTATTTTCCTACATACTCATTCAGATTTGAATTCCAGATTTTCTATTTTAAGGTGGCAATTTGTATTTGGTTGTCTCCTTAAATAGTATCTAGGAAATCATATTTACATTCTCTTAAAAGTAAAACATAAATGTTTCTATTATCTGAAGAGCCTGTAATGTTTATAGTGCATGGTCATATTACCTTTTTATAGAGAGTGTTTGATCCTGTAAACCATAAAAAGACAATTCTGGTATTTTGTTTAGGATAGTCCTACTTCTTACAAAATGTACTTTAATAGACTTCGAGGGTAGGTTCATTATTTAGAAGTTAGCTTCCATTTTCAAATTTTGCCTTCCTGTAGCCCTGACTTATTGAATACTTCAAGCTATCATCCAAAGTTTCCTTAATTAAATGAAAATTTTATCTGACATATGTAATATAACTAAAATTTTAATTACATAACTTTTTTCTGAATCTATGACTTCATCAAGGTAGGGATTACCTAGTGAGGACTTATTTGAGTAATACAAATAGGCATCAGTCAGTTCTGCACCCTTTGCCAAGAACAAGCCAGCTAGCATGTGGCAGAACTGGAGCTTGGGATTGGCATGTCCTGAACTTCAGGACACACTCTATCCCCTACACTAGCAGTGCTCAATCTGTTTTTGCTCACACACCCCAATCTCTTTGGTCATGAGGAATCATAGCACACTGAACATTTCAGTTGGCCACACTGCAGGAGTGTCAAGAACCCTCCCAGGCATTCAGTTTTACTTCAATAAGAGCAGCCATTTTCTTGGATTCTTTGCAACTTCAAGATCTACCCTGTTTGGAGGTTAGCTTGTTTGTGCAATAGGCAAGTTTTGTTTATTTTGTGAATATAAAATTAACTTACCATATACTGATGAAGTAAATTTATGTTAAACAGCATAATTATAAATTTTCCTTTATCTGTAATACCATAATATCCAAAATTGCATGTCAAAATATCTCAGTTGGAATCATGATACACATTTCAAGAATTGTAGCCTTAAATCATAATATCTCTTGTGTCAATTTTATGACAAGTAAATAAAATTAATTTTATTTTGTATACAACTCTGTGTATATACATGAATATATTCATACAAATGATATATATAAATATTAATATACGTGAAATGCACACATGTATATATGTACCTGTATGCCCCCCATATATATTCACATATACTGAATTAAGTCTATTTTGTTCTTTTGTGGAAAAAAAATACCAAAATCTAAGGGTTTAAGAAAAAATACTATTAAGTCCAGTAATTAATTCTTTTCTAGGTTACTTGAAACTACTAGATTTTTTAAAAATCACATATTGTCACTGTTTTTTCTTTTCTTTCCTTTTTCTTCTCTCTTTTTTTTTTGTTCTTCTGAGCCACATTACCATTTTGAATGTTGGTTATAGACAGTAGCTAAAACCATCTTCCAGCCCTCGGGCATTTAAATTATGATAAATCTTATACTTGGCAAAAAGCCTAGAGTTGTTGGGCCTCAGATTTCATAACTCATTGATGTTTTTGGCTTAGTTTGGATCTGAAAGTTGTGGTGAAGCTCTTCCCTAATGTGATGTAAGTTTTGATTTTAAGGAAATTGTATAGTTAAACATTATACAATGGGGAAAAAAAGTCCTGACTACAAAAAGGCATTAAATATTAAATAATATGGTTTTTGTTTTTGTTTTAATTTTTTTTGCTCAGTAAAAACATTTCAGCTTTGATCTTTTCAGTGATTCCTAACTTGAATAACAAACTTTTTCTGATTTGACTCTTGCTTTTGTCTTCATCTGAAGGCTACAGTTTCAAAATATCAACAGAAAGAAACCCTTTGGAGATATGTAGACTATACTTTCTGAAATATTATACACTGCTAACAGTGGCCCATGAGTTGTATTTTTACTTGGTATTTATTTTTAAGATTTATTTTGGAAACTTCTGTTGTGAATTTATAATTCTAATGTTGAACTGAAAGGGAATTTTTTGGTAGATTTAGGGTCATAGGATTAAGAGTTGACAGGAAACTTTGAGATAATCAGTTTTGACATTTTATGTTTAAGTGACTTTTCCATGGGATAAGTTACAGAGCCAGGATTTGTGCAAAGACCTCTAAACTCCAATCCAGTACTCTTTCTATTTCATTAGCATTGGTTAACTTCCTGGGAAAATTTAGGGGATAAATACCTACATCAACATTATATGTATGTGTATACGTGTCCTACGCACACACACACACGATTTCCTTTAATAATAATAGGCATAGGTACCTAATGTGGCTTTTACCTTTATAGAATAATTTATTTGCTACTAGTGTTCACCTACATTATATATATATATATATATATATATATATACACACACACACATATATATGTGTGTGTGTATGTATAGGTGCTATATATATATACACGTACATACATATATAACATAGTTATATGTACACCTTTATATATTGCAGCAATAAAAAGCATCAGAATAAAATTATTTTAATAATTAAAATTTTTGAGGTATTTATGTCAACTAAAATATGTTTAGCTTAAATTTTCAAAATTTCATACAAGTTGTCTTCAGTTTTTCTGATCCTTTGTTTTTCTAATTTGGGAAGAAAAAAAGTAGCTAGGAATAAACAAAATTACTGTTTCAAATTAACAGAATGAGCACAGAAAGAAAACAGGGCTTTCTTGGCCAGTTTCCTGGCAGTGTATCTAATTGTTATGGAAGCACACAATGGTAACTGTTTCTAAAAGGAGTAATATTAAATCTAGTTACAAATACTTAACACTTTTTGAAATCCAGAGTAATCAAAATGAAATGCAAAATGCAGTTGTGTGTATAGCAGTAGTAGTTGTATGGCCAGAAAATAAAAAAGGAGCTTCATTTTGGTTCAATATTTAAATTGTAAGTTTACAATGGAAGTCTAAATATCAGTACATCTAAAAATTAATACCAACTCCTTTTTTTACATCATGAAAGGGAGCACACTTGGGTCTGTCTCTAGTGAAGAAAAAAAGCCATGCCCAATTTTTACAAAATTTAGTGTAGACTGTATTCAAAATTAACATCTAAAATGGCTTAGCATTTCTTTGTAGCTTTTGCCTTTATAGAATAATTTATGTGTATTAGGGTCCATCTGTACCCTAAATATCTGAATAAAATTCAGTCATGCATTATTTGGATGATTATATTATATGAAGTATCCATTTTTTTTCCTTTGGAATTTATTTTATATTTACTGTTGTCAAGCTTCCTCTCCATTTGGGAGTAAAAAGTTCCCCTTCCTCATATCTTTTTGATTCTCATTCTTTGCTGACAAGGTATGGGAAATTTTTTGTGCCATTTTTATGTTTCCTAGTTGTTAATGGCACATAAGCAAATGAGTCTGAGGTTAAAAGGCAATTTGGCAGATTATCATAAATTTGGCATACCCTGAGAATGTGTAATTTTATTTTTTCTTTCCTTTTTTAATAGATAACCTATATATGTACTTTTGCTTCTGTAAAGTCACAGCTTTGATAACTTTTAGGTGAAAATATTAAATTCAATAAAGTGTGATTATGATGTTAAGCATAGTCTTACTAAGATTTTTTGTTTGTTTGTTTATTTTTCAGTCCTCAGGTACAAGTATTACTGTTGATATTGCTGTGATGGGAGAAGCACATGGCCTTATTACAGACCTCCTGGCAGATCCTTCTTTGCCACCAAATGTGTGTACCTCCTTGAGGGCTGTGAGCAATTTGCTTAGCACACAGCTGACTTTCCAATCAATTCACAAGCCAAGAGTGAGTCCTCTGGTTTCCTTCAGTGAAAATTACACCTGTTCTGACTCAGAAGAAAGCTCTGAAAAAGAGAAACTGGCTATTCCCAAGGTATGTGCTTATTAAAGCTCCTTAGAGTATTTTCTTATATGTCCTCACTTCGCTCCAGGACCTCAATGGCTCAAGAAATACTTGTAGATTTATGGTTACGACTTCACGAACACTTAAATCCATCCATTAACAAGCATAAATTAGTGCCTGCCACATTCCAGGTAATATGTGAGGACCATGGTGAGGGTGATTACTGAGTGATAGTGGCACCTATACACCCATAGGGCATAGGGTGAAATATTATTGCTGAGTGATGGCAGCAAAGGGAAGATCTGGAAGTGGAAGTGTGAGAAAGGAATATCCTTACTCCCTTTCCTGAACCTTTATATCAAGGAGAGTGAGACAATGCTTAGCCAGTGCTAGAGAATATGACCAGGGTTGCAATGTTTTGTTGGGGAGCCAGGTCTCCGTGACAGTTAGTGGAAAGAGTAGGACAGGGAGAGGCCTAAAATAAAGGAAAGATTATTCTTTATGAACAGGGATTCCAGATGGATAGTGGAAGCAGTAGGCAAACTTGGATTGGGACATGAGTAGGGTAGACTTGAAAAGAATGGGGATGGCTACCATTATATGCAAATATACACATACATATATATATATATATTATATGTATGTATGTGAATATATATATTTGTATAGAATGTATAGAAGTATAGAGTGATTTTACATATAAATATATATGTATATATATTTATATGTAAAATCACTCTATACTTCTAATTTATCAGTTATTTTTCTGGATGCAGATAGCATCTTCCTTCATATGCCCTTTGAAGTTAATTTGGGTATTTATAATAGTCAAAATGATTTATTTTCTCAAAACCATCTCTAGGGTGGGGGGAAGGAAAAAAAGAAACACACATGATAACTTTATTACATATTTTAAAGGAATAGCAAGTTGTACATAACAGATTTGCAGTTTCATGTGCAATCATCTTTTCTATTATACTAAACTATGGAAATGCTTGTTTTATTCCATAAATTAAAAATAAAGTAAAATAAAAATTCAAAACAAATTTTAAAAATTAAAAAAAGCACAGAACAGAATGGATATAAGCAAATAGGAAAGGGAATTGGAGAGTGTTTAATCCTTGGCAGTAGTGAGTGGTAGATAAATAATAATCTCCAGTTAAATCACAGTGTCCACATGTTAGTGTTTGGAGGCAAAAGCCAGGGATTACCGGGTTTTGGTCATTGGCTATCCCTCCACACTGGGTGAGCAGGGCAGATAGTATTGGAGAGGCTGAGATGATAACATGAGTACAGGGGTACTGGGCCTTGATTGTCCCATCAGTGTTATTTGGCTTGAGTGGAGGTCTGGTGGGTATGTTTCAGGAAGAAGGAAGAGGGCTTCTGGATCCTGATTCTGATGGCATGTAACTGACCCCGACCTATTCCTCTGTAATTATGCTATACAACATAGTATAGAGTCTTCTTTAATTTTTGTTGGGACTTTTTTTTTAATCACATAATACAAGTTGACACTCCATGTTTATTTATACTTAAACTCCCTTGGGCCTTACTGACTGCATGATGGTAAATTATGCCATAGTGCCTCCATGTTTCCAAACCTAACTAGCATCAGAAATCAGATCAAAAATATTGTGCACTAAAGAATGGCAGTCATAAGAATTTCATTGAAAATTATCAAATGTCCATGGATAAAGCAATGTCAGATATAAACTGGACAAGTGGCAAGGTCTATTTCTGGGACAAATAAGTCCTTCACAAAAGAAAAAAAAGATAGCCAGTCAATGGTGAAAGTGATAAGCTCTTTTATTTGGTGAATTTAGGCGAAGGCCTAAAAAAGAAGGCTGCATGACTTAGTTTAGAAATACCTAAGGGAGTAGAAGGCGGTGAGAACAAGGGTACTAGGGCATTACACTCTGCTTCACAGTGGGGCTCCAACTGATAGCTCCAAAGCAGAATTGGGAAAGTATATAACCAGGTGTGTCTCTAGGGGGCTTCAGGCTTGACATTTCAGGTAGTGGCAGAAAGGATTTTGTGATGGTCTTAGGAGTGTTTGCTCTCAACATGGCATGGCATTGCATTGCATCAAATTTTGCTGGGATTCTTGAGTATACTGATTAAGGGTAGCACAAGCAACAACAAGGTAAGGGTAATTTTAGGGTTAGGACCAGTTAGGTATTTCATAGGAAAAAAAAGGGTTAAGTCTGCTTATGTGAGTCTAATTGGTTTCCTACACCTAAAGTCACAGACAGAGGGATAACAATAATCATACTAATAGCTAACATTTATGTAATGCTTACACTGTAACAGGTACTATGCTAAGTGTTTTACAATTATTATCTCATTTGATCCTCACAACTCTGGGTCAGAGGTACTATGATTATCTCCATTTTACAGATGAGGAAACTGAGACAAACAGAGGTTAAATGACTTGCCCAGGGTCACACAGCTAGCAAGTGTCTGAGTTCAAATTTGAAATGAGGTCTTCTTGACTCCAGGCCTGGTTCTTTGTCCACTGTGCCACTTAATCAACTTGGAAACTATAGAATTCTAGCCTGGCATGACAGATTCCAGATATTGGAGAATCCAAAGAAGTAGTAGTGTGAAAGGAGAGGTAGCAGGCAAGAAGAAAGACTCCAGCTAGGAAATGGCTAGCTAGGACAGAGAAAGACTAGCCCAGAAAAATCAGAGGTTTTCTTTTAGAGTATGACAGCAAATAATTTCCATGAGTTGGTTGTCCATAACTTTTAACATTCACTAAGAAGGACTATATTATAGTATTTTTAAGATTTGGAACTAAATTCCTAACCACTCTTTAGCAATCTGACATTTTTATAGCATCCTTCTAGTATCATCTGCTTCTCTTTGGGGGTAGGCATGGATGGATATAAAGATCAAGTGTCACATTGAGGGTCCCATAAAACACATGAACTCAGTATTAAGCACCTATTTTGTGTCAGCACTGTTCTTGGTGCAGAAGGTCCAAATGCAGTGAATGAAACAATCCTATTCTCAAGAAGTTTATATTCAAATGGGAAAGATAAGAAGTACATATATAAGTAGCTACTGAATAAAAATAAACATAACTAAATAAAACAGTTAACAACAGGGTAGTTTAAGGGAGAAGGTACTAGCAAATAGAGGGATAAGAAAAGTCTTGACCAGAATGTTGAAGGAAAAGAATTCTCTGAGCCAGAGGTGAGGAGGAAGTACATTCCAGGTATGAGGGACTACCAGTAGAAAGGGATAGAGTTGAGAGATGGAATATGTAGTGTGAAAGACAGAGAAAAGACTAGTTTGTCTGGGATCATAGATGGTTTGATAGGAAATACTGTGCAATGAACCTGAGGCCAGATTGTATGTGGTGGAAGGAAGGAAGGAAGAAAAAAAAGAAGGAAAATAGGGAGGGAGAGAGGGAGGAAATGAAGAAAGCAGGGAAAGAAATAGGAAAGAGAAGAAAGAAAGAAGGAAAAGAGGAAGGGAGGGAAGGAGAAAGGAAAGAAGGTTGAACACATTTATTAAGTGCCTGCTACATGCCAGGCCCTGTGCTAAGCTCTATATAAATATTCTCTCATTTGAGCCTCACAGCAGCCCTGGGAGGTAAGTGATATTATCCACATATTACAGTTGAGGATACTGAGACAGTGAAAGGTTAAATTACCTGTCCAGGTACACACACATAGTAAGTATCCTAGATTTAAGCCCAAGATTTCTAGACTTCAGGCCCAGCACTGTACTCGTTGCACTACTGAACCAATACTATTTATTCCTAAAGGAAACAATGATCCACTGGAATTTAAGCATGAATTTAGTTAAACCATTTCAAAAAATGTATAAGTGACAGATGTACTACTATAACACAAGTTTCAGTTAGATTCTTTCTCATCCTACTGATTTTTAAATGAATATTCAAAACTTTTAAAGGGGCATATGGAAGTGTTCAAAGGTCATTGCTACTCCACCCTGCTGGCCTTTATGTCCAAATAAAGGAATTCAGAGCAAATCAAGCATTCATTGAACACCTGCCATCCATGACTCCTTACTAGATATTGAGAGTTACGTAAACCATTCCCTAAACTTTGTGTTCCTTTGAGTAAACATTTGCTTAAGTGTCCTAGTATGGATCATATGCAGGCTTAAGTGATATTCATGGACTCATCTGGCTTTGCATTATCATCTCAGAAATTGTGGAGGCTACTCTGTGAATCCATATGTATTTGGACTTTGTTTTCTGAGCCCCTAACTTCTCTTATATCTCATATTGTAACTTGTATGTTTCCTCATGCATTTTTATCAGAAAGTTGTTTTTCATATCCGTTGGAGTACCCTTATTTTTTTAGGCTTGTGAGTATTCAACCAATGCCTCCAACTATGCGCACTTTTAATAAAAGCCCTATCTCTTGTCCCTATGATACGGTACATTTTTGAAGTAAAAGAACGTTCAGTAACAATTATAACCCTCCTCTTAGCGTCTGAGAAGGAGTTTGCCACCAGGATTACTAAGACGGGTTTCATCCACTTGGACAACCACCACCTCAGCCACAGGCTTGCCAACACTGGAGCCTGCCCCAGTGAGGAGAGATCGGGCTGGCAGCAGCAAATCTCAGGAAGCACCTTCCTCCAGGTTAGAAAACATGATTGTTTCTTATCCCTTGGGGTGATTTTGAACTTCTGAATACTCCCAGAAATGAAGATTTAAGGAGAACGATGCTTTCAAAGATGAGTTGGTAGGATGCTAGACAGGGAGAAATTAAGAGCTAAAATTTTTTTTTTCAACCCAAATAACTTTTGAAGAAAAAAGCTAGATGATTGAGCTTCTCTTCCATAGGGCATCATGAAAGGGAAGAAGAGAAGGATTAAGCATTTGTATAGTGCCTATTATGTGCCAGGTATCATTTTAAAGGGCTTTACAAATATCTCTTTTGATCCCACAACAACCTTGGGAGGTTGGTGCTGTTATTTTCCCCATTTCCACTGAGGAAACTGAGGCAGACAGAAGTTAAATGACTTGCCCAGGGTGACAAAGCTAGTAAGTATCTGAGACTGGATATAAGCTCAGCTCTTCTTGACTTCAGTAAGGGAAACCTAGCTTTGGTTTTTCCTTTTCTTTCTCTTTGAACATTTTTTTTTTTTTACATTTTGAAAATGGAGCAATGCCTTTTGTATTGAAAGGAAGTGCAGTGTAATTGATAGAGAGCCAGCCTTGGAGGCAGAGAGACCCAGATTTGAGTCTGCCATCTGGCCCATTGTGTCCCTCTGACTGTAGGCAAGGCTTTTAACTTCTCCATATCTCAGGCCACTTTCCAAGACTGCATTACTAATGGGCCCCTAATCTATCTCAGTCAGTCCAGCAAGCATTTTTCAAGCAACAACTATGTGCCCAGCACTCTGCTAAGTCTTAGAGATACAGAGACCAAAGTGATGCAATCTTCCCTCAAGAAGATTATAGTCTTACATGGAAGACAATGCTTAAATATGTAAATATATGAAGGGCATATAGAAAATGAATAACAAGTAGTTTGGGGAGGGGAGGGTACTATCAACTGAGATATGAGAGGGAGTGGAGTCAGGAAAGGCTTCTTGTAGAAGGAAGTAGTTAAAGGGCAGTTAGGCAGGGCCTTGGAGAGAGTGCCAGTCCTGGAGGACCTGAGTTTAAATTTAGACAATTACTCGATGTATGACCCTGGGCAAGTCACTTAATCCTGATTGCCTCAAAAAAAAAAGAAGAAGATGAAGAAGAAGTTCGTTTTTAAACTTGGCTTTGAATTTTTTTAATAACTTTTTTTCAACTTTAAACTTAAATACAAAATGAGAAAAGAAAATAAAAAACTTTACCATGTATACAGCAGACTACAGGAGAAGATTCAATATAAAATAATAAATTTCCATTTCAAGAAAACCTATATAATAAATACTACATATTGTTTTCAAAGCTGCCCAGCTTTTCTTTGCTTCCTTGTTGGTTTTCTTAAGCATAAACACACACACACGCAGAGAAAGAACTATACTGTGCTTATTTCCACTTGCCATCTGTTTCTCTGGGGTTGGATATCATCTTCCTTCATAGGTTCAAGTCTTTCCATGTTTTTCTTAATCAACCAGCTCATCATTTCCTATACTACAGCAGTATTCCAAGTCAATCACATCCTATCTGAGAGATTGTCTATGAAAGTTTTCCCCCAATTTTCTACATTCCTTCTATTCTTGGCTACATAGGTTTTATTTATACCAGAAAATTTTATTTTAAAATAATCAAAATTGTCCTTTTTATACTTCAACAATGCTCTCCCTTATGACAAAATCTAAAGTTAGATACTGCTGAATCTACTTCCTTTACATATTTTTTCTGATTTCTTTGAAGTTCCTGATCTTTTGCAATTCTTGCATCCCTCTCATTTCTCTTCCCAGTTTTTCCTCTACTTCACTTACTTGCTTCTCAAAATTCTTTTTGAGCTCTTCCATGGCCTGGGACTGACTCATATTTTTTCTTGGAGGCTTTGGATGTGCTTTGACTTTGTTGTCTTCTTCTGGTCATATGTTTTAATCTTTTTTGTCACCAAAGATTCTATGATCTGACTTTTCTTTTTTGCATAGTTTGCTCACATTCCCAGCCAATTTAGTTTTAAACTCTTTGTTAAGGTAGGGGGTTTGCTTCCAGTGTGGAGAATGTACTGTCCCAAGCTTCAGGGGTTTTGTGCAGCTGTTTTCAGAGATACTTCTAGGGACCTGTCAATTTTCAGTTCTTTCAAGGTGGTATGATGAAGAATGAGGTGTTTATTCCTTTCCTGGCCTGGGCTGTGGTCTATGAGTGACCACAAGCACTGTTTTCTGCCTTGGAACTGTGAGGAGGATTCCCTCTCCACCATCACTACAAGTTCCACCATGCCAGCACTCCCCCTTGACCCAGGACCGCCACCCAGAATTGCAACCCAGATCCAAGCAAGGGCAAAGCAAGAGAATTCTGCCTCAGCACCAGCAAAGAGATCCCTGCATGCCCCTCTGATCAGCCTCCCAATTCCCACTCCGTCTGTGGGCTGAGAGCTCCAGAAGCAGCTGGTGCCCCAAGGCTGTGCTGGGACTGGGGCTGGGACCAAGCTTCTTTCTCATCTTGGTCACAGACTTTTCCTACTGACCTTCTAAGTTGTCTTTAGTGTTTGTGGGTTAAGAAGTCAGGAAACTGCCACAGCTGCCCATGATTCAGTTTTCTGAGGCATGCTTCAGGTTCCCTGAGGCCTGGTCTTTGCCTGTGAACCTGTGCTGAACTTCATTCCTCTCCCAGCCTGGGGCAATAGACCTTTCCAATCAACCATCCAGGTTGTCTTGGGCTAGAAATTTGTTTCACTCTGTCTTTTTGTGAGTTCTACTGTTCTAGAATTTGTTTAGTGTCATTTTTTACAGGTATTTAGAGAGCTTTCAGGGAGAGCTCAAGCAAGTCACTGCTTTCACTCTGCTGTCTTGGCTCTGCCCCTCCTGATCTTTTGCTCTTCCAAATGAACTTTATTATTATTTTTTCTAACATGGTAAAATGATTTTTAGTAATTTAATTAGGATGACATTGAAAAAATAGATTAGTTAGGTAAAATTGTCATTTTAAAATTAAGACTGAGTTTATTTGTATAAAAAGTGTTCTATATTTAAGTTCATATAGTTTCTGTGTCTGTTTTAGCAGGTATGTGCTGAGGTATTTTAGGCTGCCTAGGTGTTTTAAACGATCTAAAGCTATGTTAATATTGCTGACAGTGTAATTTCTCTATTTTTCACTTTTGATTAAATATTCTTTAACTTTGTCTGAGATCACGATTACTATACCTGCTTTTTTTACATAATAAATTCTGTTCCTGCCCTTTATTTTATCTTTCTGTTTATCTCTCATTTTTATGTTTCCTGAAAGCAACATATTGTTAAACACAAATTTTTATCTGCTCTCCTTTTCTATTTTATGGGTAAATACATCCCATTCACATTCTAAGTTATAATTACTTGTGTATTTTCCTGCTTCTTATTTTTCTTCACTGTCCTTCTCACCCTATTTACCTTATCTCTCCTCTCTCCTCTGTTTAACTTCTACCTACTATTTGCCCTCCTATTCCTTAACCTACCCACTCCTCCAAAAGTCCCTCCCTTATCCTCTCCCCCCCAACCTATCCCCTTGCCCTCTTATTTCTTTCTGAATTTTGGAGACTTTTATACATATACATACACACATACATTTCCCTCTTTATCCCATTTCTGATGAGAGTAAGGTTCCAGAACTACTGCCCCCCACTACCTTTTTCCTTGTCAGTTTTTCCCTTTATGCCTCATTTCTATGAGATAATTACTCCTTTTTATCTCTCCCTACACAGTTTTTTTAAGAATCACCCCATTATATTCAGCTCAGCCTAAGTCTTTCTTTCAAACTACCCAAATATAAATGACAGTCATACAAGAACTGATAATATTTTCACATACAAGATAAGCAGTTTAACCTTATTGAAACCCTTATAATTGGTCTTTGGTGTTTACTTTATATTTCTCCTGGATTTTATGTTGAATTTTCCTTTAAGTTCTGGGGTTTTTGTCACAAAAACCTGAAAGTCTTTCAGTTCATTACATATCCATTTTTTTTACATTCAGGATTATGCTTAATTTTTCTGGTTAAGTAACCCTTGGTCATAACCCCAACTCTTTTGCTCTACAGAATTTAGTATTCCAAGACCTATGGTCCCTCAGCATAGTAGCTGTTAGGTTTTGTATAATCCTCATTGTAGCTCCATGATATTTAAATTATTTTTTCTTGTTGCTTCCAATATTTGCTATTTAATCTGGGAGCTTTGAAACGTGGCTATGATATTCCCCTAAATTTTCCTCCTGGGATCTCTTTAAGGTGGTAATTGGTGGATTTTTTCCAATGTGCCTTCTTGTTCTAGAACTTCAGGGCAATTTTGTATTTTTCAGTTAGTCTGACTATTCTTATATTATTTCTCCTCTATCTGTTCTCCAGATCAGTTTTTTTCTGATGAGATGTTTTACTTTCTCTTCTATTTTTTCATTCTTTTGATTTTGTTTTATGATTTCTTAGTGTCTTAGAACATCATTAGCTTCCAGCTGCCCAATTCTAGTTTTCAAGGAGTTATTTTCTTCCTTAAGTTTTTGATTTCAAGTTGGTTGACTTTATTTACATAATTTTCTTGATTTTCTTGGATTGCTCTTATTTTTTTTCCTAATTTTTCACCAATCTCTCATCTGATTTTTAAAGTCCTTTTTGAGTTCTTCTAAGAACTCTCTTGGAGCTCAGAACCATTTGACATTTCTCACTGAAAAAGAAATAATTTTTTTAATTCCATTATCTTCTTCTGAATATGAACATAGATCTTCTCTATCCTCATTGTTATTATCTATGGTCAGGTTCTTTCTCCTTTACTTGTTCATTTTTATTTATTTATTTATTTATTAATCTTTTTTAATTTTTTTTAGCAGCTATTAATGTGATCAAGTTGTAATCCCAAGGCATGGGCAATGATGCCCCAAGTCTCAGGTCCTTCTTACTGTTATTTTCTGAGGTCTGTCTCAGGGCCCAACTGTGGGCTCTTTTCTCTGTTCCTAAGCCACTGCTAGGGCCCCCAGCCAAACTGTCCCACAAAT